TGTATTTAAGCTCTGTCTTGTCTCTGTGTCAGTGTCCGATCATTTTGCTGAAAAGCTTGTCTCGTTTTCATGTTTCATGTAGTTTTTTCGCCACGTCTTTCYAAGTGAGTTTTCCCAGCTGCCTCATCAGCTTTTTGATTTATTAAAGACCTTATTGTTGTTACACCTGAAACCTGCCTGTGCCCTGGGTCATTCCATGTCTGAACCTGACAGAATGATTGGACCAAGTGCCCAGCCCACAGACAGTTTTTTGAATGATTTTGATTATGGGGAGGTTTCGAGGCTCCTTCAGCAGCTGCAGAGAGAGCGCAAGGAGATGATGGTTCGTTTTCCCTGGCTCTCCCTGTCGAGAGCAGCATCGCCTGGGGATCCTGCTGTCAACCCTCCCTCCCCTTCAGTTTGGTCTACTGCTGGTTCGGCTGCTGAGTCACCTGAGTTACCTGAATCTGTTCTGGTGGTTCCTGAGTTGAAGGTCCCAGTGGTTCCACAGTCGGTGGTTCCACAATTGGAGATCCCGGTGGTTCCACAGTCGGTGGTTCCACAATTGGAGGTCCCGGTGGTTCCACAGTCGGTGGTTCTACAGTTGGAGGTCTTGGATCCACAGTCAGTGGTTCCACAGCTGGTGGTCCCGATGTCTCCGGTGTTGGCGAGCCCCAAGTCGGCAGTCTCTGAGGTTYGTGAGTTGGTTACCGGCACCTCCACGACATCTGGGTCGGCTGCYGTTGCTTCCACGTCGTCCATCRCCTCCTCATCGCYTGGCTTGTCACCCATCGCCTCCATGTCGCCTGGGTCGGCTGCCGTTGCCTCCATGTCGCCTGGGTCGGCTGCCGTCACCTCTTCGTCCCCTCTGTCGCCTGTGTTCGCCATCGCCAAGGCTCTGGCTCCATCAACCTCCAATGACTCCTCATCGCCTCCCGCCTCCTCCCTTGGCTCCACGTCTGCTCCCGCCTCCTCCCTGGGCTCCACGTCTGCTCCCACCTCCTCCCTGGGCTCCACGTCTGCTCCCGCCTCCTCCCTTGGCTCCACGTCTGCTCCCGCCTCCTCCCTTGGCTCCACATCTGCTCCTGCCTCCTCCCTTGGCTCC